GTGGAGTACATGTCTTTAATCTGTTGAGAAGGTTCTGTTCTACTTCTAGGCTCCTGATAGCTTTTACCATGAACAGCTGTGGAATTTAGTCCAATACTTTTTCTCCAACTAGTGACAGGATCATGTGGCTTTTTCCTTTCCTCTGTTAAAATGATGACTGTCGGGGGTGGATCTTCCAATGCTGAACCAACACTGCCATTGCTACAATAAAAACACTTCAACATGCTGCCAGATCTGACTTCTAATAGTTTTTTTTTAGAAAAAATTTCTATCTATGTTCATACTTCTTTCTTCTATTATCTTTTTCCAGTTTTAGGACTAGCACAATGTTGAGTTCCTAAAATGAGGAGAGGAGTGTTCCTTCTTTTTTCTGCTTTAATTGTTTGATATAATTTATCAGTTAAAATGTATATGAGCCTGCTGTTGTCATACAGGTAGGTTTTCAAGGTAGGAATATACTTTCTTTAAGAGGTGCTATGCAAATTTTATATTTCCTCCAGACTTAGTTTCATTAATTTGTCTTTCAAGGTACTTCTTAGAAGTTGTCAAATTCATTTCAAAATGGATTTTTGAAATATGCTTTCTATATCCTTTTAAATTCTGTAAAATCTGTGGTAATATCCTCTAGATCTTGATATTGCAATTTTAAAAATGTATAATTGATTCACTGCCTGCTGTGCAGCCGCAAGGACCCGAGTTCCATCCCAGGTACCAAAAAAAAAAAAGTATAATTGATATTGTGCAATAGGAAGAAAAGGTCTAAAGGAGCAGGAGAAGTGGGGAGGGTAGGGGAAAGGAAACAAGGGGAAAGAAAAAATATGAGAAAAGGAAAAAAATGGAAACAAAGTCTTTGCAAATAGGGAAGGGTGGAGGGGGTGAAGGGAGGGCAGGAGAAGGGGAAAAAATAAGAACTAAGATATTCACGTAAAGGTACAAGATCCCTTGATGATGAATGTAACTGTATTTTATACCTAAAATGCCCCAATGAACTTAATGGGGGAAAAAAAACTCTGCCTTTTTGGGTGCAGGGCTACACACCTGTAATCTCAGCTACTCAGGAGGCAGAGACACGAAGATCACAAGTTTGAAGCCAGCCTGGGCAACTTAGTGAGAGTCTGTCTCAAAAAAAAAAAACATAAAAATGTCTGGAGATGTACCTCAGTGCTCTCTGGGTTCAACTCCCAGTATTGGGGGGGCGGAATACACTTCCAGCCCACATGGGCCATAGTGGAGATGCTAAGATCCCTCCCTGTCCACCTACTCCTTCCTTTCCAGAAAACAACAGTTATAAATGGGGAAGAGAGGGAGGGGGAGAGGGTGGGGGAGAGGGAGGGGGAGAGGGTGGGGGAGGGGGGAGAGAGAGACTTGGGGTTTGGGTGTCTCAAAAGCACAGCCTCCATCCATGAATGTTGGTTTCCTGTTGGTCTAGAATGAGTGAATGGCTCTGGCCAGTGGGGTGGTTGCTTGCATACCTCTGGCCAAGCAGGCTCTTTCTTTTTCAGTGCTGGGGGAATGTGTCAATGATTGGTACAATGTTTTATTCAGGGCTACTGCCTTGAAGCTGGTGGAAACATCAGGCCTTCCTTGAAACCATCAGTTCTCGCTTTGAGTTGTGAGCTGTTTTCCTGGAGCTCCTCCTGCCTTTCTGAGCTGCTTGCCCTTTGCCTTCTGTCCCTGTGTCCTGCTTCCCCCACACCCACCTGACTCTGCTTCTTCCCTTTTTTCCTTTACCTGAAACTTGAGAGTTTTTGACTGTGCCCCCTAAGTACACCTGCCACCAAATCCCCTTCAAATCTGCATGCTGAACTCCAGTTTCTCTCACCTCTAGGTGATTTCCACACCTACCTCTCTCCTGGACACATGCCCCACCTTTGCTTGAAAATAACATTTTCACATATTTGAGTGCTTGAGTGGAGTCAGAGGGAAAAGGAAACTCCTTTCCCCCCCTCTTGGGTAGTGGGCTTGAATCCAGGGACTTAAACACTGTTGGCAAGCACTTCTACCTCAGAGCTGTATGAGCTCTTCAATTTTTTGCTGTTGTTGTTCATTTGGGACAGGGTCTCACTAAGTCTCCCAGCCTGTCCCACTCAGCACTCACAGAGAACAGTGTGGACCAGGAGGTGCCTGGGCAGTGGGGCGAGGGCTGCCTCTGTCAGCTGACCAAATTGATTTCCCTGCCTCAGTAACTGGAGTAGCTGCAGGCTGAAGAGTGTGCCATCACAGCACTGAGGAAAACGAAACTAGGAAAGGTCAGCGAGCAGTCAGTGCCACACAACACATCTAGGCAGAAGGATGGCTTCCAGGGTAAGTCCCCAGAAAGGGTTTTAAAGCTTTTATTTTAAAAAGCAGCAACAGCTCTGTTAGGAGAGGTTATGTGTGTTTTCCTTGTTGGTCCATAGCTCTGGCACAGAGGTGACAGGGAACATGCTCAGGTGTAAGAGTCTGGCTGTCTCAGACAAAGTGGGAAAATAAACCAGGGTCTGGGCCCAGAGCCCTGTGAGGGGTGAGTGGGTCAGGCTTGGGAGGGAGGGTCCCGGAAAATGGCTCACAGCGGTGTGGGAGGTGGGAGGTGGTCCGGAAGGGTTCTTGTCGCCTCTCCCCTCCAGGCAGCACAGCCCCTCTACTTTGCTCTCCTTTTCTCTCTTCCTCTTTCTGTGCTCCTTTTCTCTTCAGGCTCAATGACAAACACATTTTGTAAGTGCCGGCTGCATCCCAGCACCTGGGTGAAGGGGTACCAGGGATCGAACTCAGCTCCTTGTGCTTTCGCAGCAGGCGGTGAAACTGCTGAGCTAAATCCCAGGCCTGCTGAAGGCTTTTATTTTATCAAGCCAGGCTGTTACTAAACAACCTTGAGAAGTAGGAGCAGCTCTCCTCTCCTCCCCACGGTGCAGTTTCGGGGAGTGATGTTAATATCAGAGAGGGGATTGCCCAAGAGGCAGCAGAGATTTGATTCATAATCTTTTGCTTGAAAAACCTGATTTCTTTAATTGCACAAAGAATACAGTCACCTTGTTTAAGAAAGCAAAAGCAAAAGTAAAATCAAAACCATTAACATGGAGGACAAAAGCCATTTTACTGTCCTACCTGTTATAGATAATGTCCCTCCAGATAGCTTGGTGTGTGTTCTGCCAGATGTTTTTCTACACATTTGGTTTGTGGCTTTGGGTTTTGTTGTAGTTTGTAAGAAGGTTCCGTGAGTACAGTTCATCTAGAATATGCTTGGATCTTTTCATTTCTATACCAGTGTTTGCAATAGCCTATTTGATGGATTTTAGCCTAGGTGCAGTTGTCATTCTTCTTCCTTCCTTCCTTCCTTCCTCCCTTCTTCTCTCTTTCTTTTTTCCTTTGTGCCGTGGTGCTAGGGATTGAAGCCAGGACCTTGCACATGCTACTCGAGCTGTACCATTGAGCTCTACCCCTAGCCCCCAGTTAACATTGTTTTTGCTGCTCCAGTCTTTGGGCAGGCTGAGCTGATTCCTGTAGTCAAAGGCTTTCCATTCACCCACATCTTTCCCACTCTCAGCAGTTGCTCAGTTCCCTGGCCAGGATGGACTGGCCCCACATGACCTGGGTTAGCTGAGTTGAGGGATGGGGAATGGTACTGGCTGGCCTCAGAGTGTTCCAGAAATAGAAAGAACTCCTGTGCCAAGGGCCACATGCAGCTGCTCATACAAAGTTCAGAAGAGCACCTTCCACCAGCAACTCCAACCATATACCGTCATTTCTGCCCTGGTTTTGGTCTAGAACCCAGATTTTACCTTCCTCCGGATTTCCTGGGATTGCCAAATGTTCCAGGAGTGTTGGGAATGTCATGCGGATGTGTGTGCCACAGCTCATTACTGCTCTGTTGAACACTTGGCTACTGGGATGGTAAACTCTCAGCTTCAGTGATGAATTAAAGGGGCTGAGTTTAAAATAAAAGAAGACAGTTCTTCCTTCTTGATGTTTTCCTCTCACTTGTAAATGATGAACAATCGCTCTGTTTTGAGATGATTTCTCACTTGTTCTGGCATCTTGGAGGACTCAATGTGCTAAAATTGAGGGCCGCGCGGATTTAGCTCAGGGGTTTCGCCCCCTGCTGCGCAAGCGCATGGACCCGGGTCCATCCCCCGTACCAAAAATAAATAAATAAATAAATAAAATTGAACCATTTCTCGAGATTATCATTGCAATATGTGGTCTGGAATTAGCTTTGAATATATGTTGTGTGTAAATAATGATGAATCAAGATGATCAGGGTTGCCTGATGTCTTGACTTTGCTGCAAAAGACGTTGCAGTGTACCTGGGTCACTGTTCTTGAAAGCATTTGGTTAGGACCTGTTTTTCTCTCTCAGGGAGTAAGTACTCTATAAAAAGGGATCCGGGCACAATAGCTGCAATCAATACTTGGGAGCACAGTTTTATTTTTATATAGTGACTAACAGTTAAGTTTGCGGGTGACCTGGGCTAGCAAAGAGGAAGACAGCTGTTAACACTTTCTGCCTCCAGGTATCTAAGACACGAAAGCTTCAAGAATGTTGACCTAGGGCCAGGGACTTACCTCAGTGGTGCTGCTTCCTGCCTGGCAAGCACAAGGTCCTGAGTTCAATCCCTGGTACCAAAAAAGAATGTTGACGTAAACACCGTTTCAGAGCTCACAGTATACAGTTAAGGAATCAACGGTATTTGCAGTGCCCATGGAACAACCACCTATTAGAGAGATTTGGCGTTGCCAGCTTTCAACCCAAGTTAATGAATTAAGGCAACCTGTCTATCATTAAAAAAAAGCCAAAATGCTGCATCTGGTTAAGTGGAGGGGAAAGGTGCTTGCTCTATTTGCCTTGTTTGCCCACCTTATAATGTCTGTAATCATGAAGATGGAATAAACTCTAACATTTAGTTTTCAAAAAAAAAAAAAAAGAAAAGAAAAAGAAGATTACTCAGAGCTAATGACCAAACAAAGGGGACATGTGTGTATCTGGTTAAGTGGAGGGGAAAGGTGCTTGCTCTATTTGCCTTGTTTGCCCACCTTATAATGTCTGTAATCATGAAGATGGAATAAACTCTAACATTTAGTTTTCAAAAAAAAAAAAAAGAAAAGAAAAAGAAAGATTACTCAGAGCTAATGACCAAACAAAGGGGACATGTGTGTATCTAGTGCAGGTTCTGTGATGCTAAAGTGAGAATAGACATGTAAGTATACATGTATAGGTGTGAGTCTATTGGAGTCAAGCATTCAGCAGTGTTGGCACATTGGGCTTTGCAAGTTGGAGCTTTGTAACTCACAAGCACAGCTCAGGCCCAGGCACATGGCAAATGGCCTTTAATGAGGTATTTAGACCTCCTTGGGACTCATACAGTTACTTGCTGGCAGAAACTTGCCTCACGCATAAAATGTGCTTTCAACCTAGCTTGTCCACATCAATTCACCGCACTCCTATGCCATACACCCACTGCCACAGTCCCTCAGAGACACCCTTCCTGTCTTCTCCGTGTTCCCTATGTACCTTTCCAGTTCAACAATCCCAATAAATTAGAGTTTTCCCACCTGTGTGAGGAGAATTCCTCCCTGTATCCTGCAAAGTCATGAGCTGTCAGAGCCTCAAGGGTGGCCTGGGCATCCTTGCAGGTCAGGTTCTAAAATATCCCCTGCAAAAGCTAATCTCATCTTCTGTTTTTTCAGTTGCAGTCCAAACCAAGACCTGGAGACCTGATTGAGATTCATCGCTGTGCCTATTCTCACTGGGCTATCTATGTGGGAGACGGCTATGTGGTTCACCTGGCTTCTCCAAGTAAAGAGGGTTCTCTTTTTAAACACAAGGCTTGAGATTGAGGGTGTGAACAGATGCAAAGATATGTGCTGGTCCTGGCTCTGCCTGGGAGAGTAGGCACTCAGTAAATATTTACTGAAAAAATCATGCTGTTCCCTGATGGGCGTATCAACTGCTATTCCTCCTTATCAGTAATTTAGGGGAGAAGTTACTGACTTGTATTTCATTATAGGGTGGGGTTCAGTCCAGACCAACCCATTATAGTTGATTGGGATCCCTCTATAGGCCCAATATTCTACAGTGCATATTTATTTTTCTGGAGACACAAACAATAGTAAGAAGCAGTTACTTCCTTAAAAAAAAATTTTTTTTTTTAGAACCAGGAATCGAACTCTGGACCTTGCGTTTGTGAGGCAGGGGACAGAACCACCGAGCTAAATCCCCGGCCCCTTCCTTAAAAACTTTGAACTGAATGCAAAGTGTAATGAAAGGAGTCATGGACTCCACACTCGAAAGAACCAGTTTGGAAACCTAGGTCCCTTGCTCACTGACTGTGGAACTTGAACACGTGGCTTTAGCTTACTAAGTTGAACAGTATTCTCTGAACCACAGGGGTCACTACACCGATCTTTCAGATTGGGGGAGGCAATGAAGGGTGTGTGGGAGGAAAGTGGCCAGGTGCTGAAGCAGCCTCCCTCAGTTTGAAGCATCCCGGTGTTAAAGGAAAAGCTGAAACCTTGGCAACTACTCAAGTGCACAACAGCAGGGAGTTAGTAAAATCAAACAGATACACAGTACTGGCATATAATGGCATTGATGGCATATACATGGCCATTAAAAGAAGTTGGATGGCAAATGTACAGTTAGAGAAATTTAAATTTTGTTGTTCATACAACAGTTCACAGACCCAGAGACTTTGAAACAAAATGTAGCAGTTTTTACAGTTCAGTTGGTAAGACATGAGGGGGAAGTATGTTTCTTTCTATTGTGATTGGCCTTACATTCTGTGAAACGGACTGGTGTATTGCAAGGGAATTTCTAGCCAGACGGATGTATTTCTAACAAAACTAACTAAATTGAACAACTATGAGTTAACTAGGTAACTAACTAGGTAGAATGAACCAAAGTAGCCGTGACAACTTCTGTAATTTGTCACCACAGGCGAGTAACGAACTCAGAAAGTCCTGCTAGAACTCCTTGCTCTGCCCCTCCTCTGCCCCTCTGCTTTGTGTAAACTCTGCTTCTGCTTCTGCACCTCCTGTTTACAACCCTATAAAACTGCCAGCCCACTGGTATTCTGGGCCTGACTTCTTTGGGAGCGATCCCAGTGTCGCTGTAATGAAAAAGTTGTACACTGCCTCTTGCCTCCCTGGGTGTCTTCCTTTCCCAGGTTCAGTTTGCTATTGCAGTGTGAACTGCCTTGCTTATAGCTGACTGGGGAAAAATAAGGTCACATTGACTTTGCAGATTTGTTTCTAGGTAGAGGTAGCCTTTCCAGGAGATCTGCACACTTTCAAGTTTGACTGTGGGTTTAACATTCAAATTGTGGCCTTCACTTTTGTTTCTGTTTAGCGATTCTCTTTTGTTCATTCTCCCAGTTAGACCAACCATGTGCCTGATGATTGAGCATTACCCTGGTCACCATGTGCTTTTCATGTCCAGCTTCACTGCAAAACAGGATCACAATTGTCAGACCCTGGGCTGGGGATTTAGCTCAGTGGTTCCGTTGCCTGCCTTGCAAGCGCAAGGACCTGAGTTCCATCTCCGGTACCAAAAAAAAAAAAAATATCCCACAGCTGAGGTGTCCTAGAGCCATCATTTAGCCAAATACCTAAACAGATCTATTGATTGTGTGTCTTTGATTCCATGAACTATCTGGAATCCATCCTTTAGATCTTTAAGATTCTGAACTACAAGTCTTCATTTATTGACCTGGAAGCAGTTTGTTTTTCCAAGAAGAGCACAGACTCCTTCCTATTACGAAGTCAGGTTATCAGGAACATTTTTGTTGAGTAATACTGTTGAAGCTAAACTGCTTCCATCCAATTGGTTTTTCTTGTCTCTTTTTTCTTCTGCTCTCCATCTGCCCAGTCTCTTATTTTTTTGGTACTAGGAACTGAACTCAGGATCTTTGCACTGAATGACATCCACAGTTCTGCATTATTATTATTATTATTATATAATTAATACTTTTCTTAGTAGTATTTTATTTTTTGGCAACAAGGTTCTGCTAAGTTTCCCAGGTGAGACTCAAACTTGTGATTCTTCTACCTTGATCTCCCAGAGTGCTAGGATTACACCACACCCAGTTTCAGATTATATTTCTTGAAGCAAATTTAAAGTATCACTGCAACTTTTTTCAAGATTTGGAGAAATATTGATGGACAAAGTGCTCAAGAAAAGAATGAGGTCCTCTGCCACCTGCCTCGAAAGCCAAGGACCCAAGTTTGAGCCCTGGTACAAAAAAAAAAAAAAAAAAAAAAGTGAGGTCCAGAGCTTCTTCTTTTTCTTTCTTTCTTTTTTTTTTTTGGTACCAGGATCGAACTCGGGACCTTGCACCTGTGAGGCAGGCAATGCGGCACCACTAAGCTAAATACCCAGCCCCAGAGCTTCTTTGTGTAATAGGGTTTTGAAGCTCTGGAGAAATTAATTTATACAGGGTTAGTTTACCTGAGCCCCCTACAGTGGGTTCTGATCTCCTGCTCAGTGCTATGACACATGGTGAGAAGAAAAACTTGGAGACAGAGTTAGAGACAGAGATATGGGGAGCCAGGATGTCCAGTGCTTGTGTAGTCAGATGCTTGAACAAGCAAAGGCCCTGAACACCCACAGCTGTCGATGTTTATTGGTGACATCATAGTTAGATCGAGGTAAAGGTGCTTCGTGGAGGGACCAGGTGGAATTGTTACGGATATGTTGCTGATGTAGGCAAGGCTTGTAAAGGAAAAGGAAGAGACAAAGCATTACTATTATTATTATTATTATTATTATTATTATTATTATTATTATTTAGTACTGGGGATTGAACTAAGGACCTTGTGCTTGAGAGGCAGGTGCTGTGCTACTGAGCTAAATTCCCAGCCCTAAACCATTCTTGAATCATGAACAGAACAGACAAAATAGTAGGTTGTGGTCAATAATTAACTTTGTCTTTCAGGAAAGAAGGCCCAACCCTGTGAACAGAATTTTGGTTTGAGTCAATCTGATCTCAGCACATGGGCTTTGGCCAGACTCATTTCTATAAACAAGCCAGTTGTTGGGTTAACTCTTTACAGCCTGCATTGCTTACAGCTGGCTTTGGGCCCAATCATTGGGGAGGTCCGCCATATTAGTCCATGTGTAATAAATCCAAGTTAAGAATTTTGGCATTTGGAAAGTCATATTTCCTTATTTTGAGTAAGAGGTGCCCCATCCTGCAATATCCAGGCCACTGAGTGGGAAACCTGTGTATATCTTTATTACCATATAGGTATAGAATCTATATGAACCATATAAAATAATACAGTATGGGAAGATTCCCATTACCCCAAATCAGGAGTCATATTATTTTTGTCATGTTGGCATCTGCATATTGCCAGCTGAGACTGCTATCCCTCAAGAACCTCATGAGCTTATAGGTGAGGCTTTTGGAAGGTGATTAGATTATAGAGGCTTATAGCTGGCTTGCTGTTAGGAGAAGGGACTGGACGGAAAAGGTGGGTCATTGAGAGCATGACCTGGAAGGGTATATCTCCCTTCCTGGCTCTTCCCTTGATCTCTCTGCTTTCTGGATGCCATGGTGTGAGCAACTTTCCTCCACCATGGGGCTGTGCCATGTCACCCTGCCTTGAACCCAGCCAACTATGAACTAAAACCTTTACAAACTGTGAGCCAAAATAAACCTCTCCTCCTTTAAGTTGTAGGTGTTGGATATTGTGTCCCAGTGAGGAGAAAGTGACTGAGACAAAGATTCATAGAGGTAATAGTTGAATGAAGGCCACCTGCGAGTGTTTTAATGGTCCTGAAGGTTGGGGTGGGGAATGCTCTGGGACCACTTTTTTTTTTCTGGGGCCACTTTTGTGATGTTTCAAGAGCTATGGATTTGATGAGTCAAGCATTGTTTATAGACATGTTTGACTGATTTTGAAGTTTCCTCACAAGTATTTTGCCAAGATTTGAATCATTTTATCAATTCTATGATGAGTGAGAGAATGAAATGCTTAGAAGACTTTCTTTTCTTTCCTTTTTTCTTTCTTTCTTTCTATTTCTTTTCAATTTTGTTGTAAGTGTTGAATTCCCCCCCCATCAAGTTTATTGGTACATTTTAGGTATAAAATACATTTACATACATCATTGGGATCTTGTACCATTACATGAGTATCTTGGTTCTTATTTTTTTCCCCTTCCCTTGCCCTCCCTTCACCCCCT